GCCGAGGCACTGTACTGCAGTGCAAATGTATGGAGAAGGCTAAAGAGGTTAAAGGTCTTGCTGTAAAGGTGAAATGTAAAATTAATCAAAATACAAAGTAGGCAAGGAAACATTTTTGCAATTTTTTTTCTTTTAATAATTTTATTTTCTGTGTACAGTTTTTTACAACTAAGTTGATAGCTTCACAATTCAGTAATCTTCCTCAAGAAGATATTGCAAAGCTGGTATCTTCAGTTGCATTTGTCTCTAGAAACTCGGGTATGATGCCTCTGGGCCCCATGTCTTTCAGTCAGGACAATTATGTGTTAATGGTATATCACAATCTATTTGTTACTGGTAGATGGGAAACAAAACTCTTCTGTGCAAATACTGAGTATTTTATCAACAAATCCTCTTCTTTTTAGCTATCTCCCTGCTGGTGACAACTGTAATTAGCTATTGTCAGCAATTTAAAGAAACATTCAGAAACTTTATGCAAATTGAAGGTCCATCCCTGTAAGGTACCGAGTGCCTTGCCATTCTCAGTAACCTCAGTGGTTCTCAAGGCCATTGCAGGAGCCAATCCAACATTAATAGACATAGTGTAGCTGAAAATACTAACGCCAAAGAGAAGTAAAATCACCTGATGGTTTAGCTTCTAGCAGCATTTCCCAGGAATGTAGTAAGGCTGTGTACCCATGCTGTTGAATGGATTCACAGTGTGAATGGCTTTTTCAGAGGTCTTCTCTTTTTTTCATAATAATCTGCCTGATTAATGATGCTACTTCTGGCTTGATACTTTCTACGGGCTCTTCAGGTCTCCAGAATTTCACAACTTTACCCTCAGGGCTGACAAGGTACTTCCAGAAATTCCATCGAGGTTCTTTCTTTGAAGAATCTGTAAGAATGGCACCAGATCATTTTAGTGACTTACACTTGTCATTGTTTCATTACCCTGCAGTGATTCTTCAACTATTTATGTTGAAGTAATCCCACTGTGTTCTTTGCTAGTAGTCTGGGCCTGGATTTACTGGTTGGTGTTAATGATCTGAAAAGTGGGAATTGAATGACGCTCTCCCCTTCTTGTGAAACTGTTTAAGAGTTCCTACTTACTACGCTCTGCTTCCTAGGGAGGAGGATATGAGGGCTGCATACTCATTTGGGGAATCGCCAGTTTTATGTCGGTTTAGGGGAAGTGAAATGGGAGCAGGAAGTCATACTGGTGATGGCTTAATTCAGCTCCTTTTGTCCCATGAGGCAAAACCTTACTGGTACCTTTGCTATCATGAATACCTGGCAAGATAATTTCTGAGATCAAGGGGCTATCAGGAAACTATGTGGCTCCTAGAGGAGGCAGAAGCAGTTTCTTGACTCCGACTTTGTCCTTGGAGAGTCTCACAGGTTTAGAGGGAAATCGCTTTTTGAGAGAAGAACTAGAAGGAAACTCCAGGAGATTTTGACTGGGCAACAGGTGTCCACTGGGGAACAGTGCTGAACCCTACACTGATTCTTGGAAGCAATGGGTTGAATTTTGCCATTGGACTACACTTGTAATGTCATCACTGTAAGGGGACACCATGGCAAGCAAATGGGTATGGTAAACCTCATGTCACGGAGGCTCCAGCCCAGCTAGTAATTATATCTTTGCTGAGTTGTTGTATCTAGGGTCAGTCTTGAAGTAACATAACCCCATCTCTGAATATTCTTTCAGTGTTCATTAATGCGTATGAATAACTCACACAAATACATAGGAAGCTGGACATTATTTGGGGAAAGGTGAGGCCACAAACCTTGCACTGGCCCAACAAAATGCCTTACTGCTATGAAAGCGGCAAGAAGCGGTTGTGTAAAGGCCTTGGCACCATGTTTATGCTGTCAGTGGGTTCTTTTTGCACTAGACTATCTGACAGTGCTGGACAAATTGTAGCTAGCAGTCACAGCCACAAGGGGGTGTAGCATGAAGATGTTCAACCTTCTGATTGTCAAAACAGCTACATGAAGAAAACAGGTGCTTCTTTAATTGCAGATGCACAGTAATTTCATGTGAAGCAGAGGAATGTGGGAAAAGACCTTATTTCAAAATACTTAAGTATCAGAGGATCTTTCTCCTTCTTGTGGGTGAACAGCTTGTCAAATAAGAACCAACTGAGTGAATATGGCCTTTCTGTTTCTGTATAGGTATTAATGTCTGATACTGATTACACTGGTAGTTAGAATCTGGATTCATCCCACCCAGCTGGTACCTATGTGCTCTAGTCTCCTCTATAATGAACTGAGAGGCACCTCCAGAGTGCATTCAGTAATTTCAGTGGGCATCAGGCAACTCAGAGCAATGAGGCTTTACCTGGGGTCTTTGGTGACATGCCTAAGGGGAGGTAGGAAGAAACACAGTTACAGTGACAATGGTGACCACTTAAATGACTCCTAAATGATGATTATTTTCAAGTACATAAGAGGTATCACAGAGGATATGGGAAGAAGCAACAGACTTAAGTGGTGTAAGAAAGATTTCATTTGTATGTTGAAATAGCTTTCTGACAAGAGGAGCTGTGAAGAACTGGAATAGACTGGGAGGTTTTGGAGTCTCTCATACTGTAATAGTCTGGAGAAGAACATGTAGTACCTATTTGGGTAAATGTGATCCTATCTTGGGGCAGGGAGATGGAATACAGGTTTGGGCCTTCTCCTACCTTATTTTCTAGTTAAAATGATGTTATAGAGAAGGGTTATGTTCTAATTACCCTTTCTTTCATGTATCAGTGTTTAGCATGGGTCAAAGACCTGGCCAAAGCTCAGGAGAATGCAGAGAGGCTTTTTAAGTTGGCTTTGGGTCTGTGGGCTTTTTGGTCAACTGAAGAGAATTTCATTTCACTTGTGAGAGTATGAGACTCTAAGTCAGTAAATGCTTACTGTAACATGAGTATTTGTGCAAGCGGGTTTTGCAGGCTGGGCCCTGAAGTTCACAAGACAAATTAATGCAAATCAGTGATTATCTATAACTACAGTATATATAATCCTACTTTACAATACAGTTTACATAAAGGTAGAGATATGACTCTGCTAAAACAGGAATCTTCTCATCTGCATGTGTTTATGTAAAATCTTCCAGTAATTTTAAGACCCCTCCTGTAGTTCCGTTTTTGTCCACAAGAAAAGTTGTTTTTCAACAAAAGTCACGTAATTTGAAATGGGGTTTTGTAGGTGGGAATGTTTGCACTCAAGTTTATACATCCACAAAAGGGATGTTTCTAGCTGGGCTGGTCACAGTAGGCTGTTTTTATAAATCAGTGGGAAGAAACGGATGCTTTCAGGGCACAACTCTTCTGACCTATTTTTGATATCCACATTGAAATGAGATGAACTGTATGCTGAGTGCCTGTTTCTCTCCATAGACTATGAAGACTATGATGTTTCCTGACAAACAAACCCAGACTGGAATTTAGGGAGAATACCATGGTTACAGGCAGCTTGATATATAAAAGAAAACAGTTACCTATTAGAAATTTAAAGGCGGGCTCTGCTTCTGATCCTAGGATCTTGATTTTGTGGAAAACAGGGAAGGTTACTCCATAGTTTCCTTTGGCAAAAGATTCTATTTCCTGGCTTGAACTAGGCTCTGATTCTCCGAACTGGTTGCAGGGAAAAGCCAGCACAGTGAAGTGGGAGGGACCAAACTCTCTGTGTAGTTCTTGCAGTGCGATGTAATTTTTGTCAGTGTGTTGGCAGTAACTGGCCACGTTTACAACCAAAGTTGCCTTCAGAGAAATAAAGTTATAATAGTAAGAAAAAAACCTAGAGATGGCATAGAGATTACAATTATGTCTTAAAACAGCATCTCCCACTACCACGATCGTTCCTGCCTGAAGGCTAAATTTAATCTGTCTGATCAAAATTTCATTAAACAGATAAGGATGATAGCAGATTAAGATATTTACTTTCAGACAACCTGTTTTAAAAATCCAATAAATGGATAAACTTAAACTTACAGCTTTGTTTAAATATAAGCATGTTAAAAATCATATTTAGGACAGGCAATAAAATCATATTTACTAGATCAGCTTCCAGAATTCAACACAACATGCTACCATTCTTAACCAAGATTAAAATGCACAAGTTGTATTGTTAGGCTACACTGATATACAGTAAAGAATATGAAAACCCATTTTTCTTGATTTATTAGATCTTAATTCCTGGAGCAGGCCTAGATAAAATAAATTTCTCTTCAGCTTACTGTTTGAAGAACACAAATTTAGCACAAATCTCTGCCGAAAATTCCCATAACCAAACTTTTTGTTAACCTACAAATGGAAACCTGTTTTTCAGTGAAGATTCAAGACAAAGATATAATGAAGTTGTAACTTACTTTCCCTCTGTACTTCTCCAAGGAAATGATCCTTCCTCGTGAATCCTTGACTTCAAAAGAATAAAAATCTTTGATTTTAGGTTTAAAAAATCTCAGCTGCAGCAGGCAGAGAATGGCAGTACACAAAACCATCGACAGAAAAACAACAAAGACCCTGGCTTTGGGCATTGAGTATTTCAGCGGATAAGTAGTTGTGAGAGGCTCCATTTTTGAAATCTTTGGAGAGAAGCCTGGGCAGGCCTGGAATGTGAAGGAGGAGCTGAAATATGAAACTCGCAGCTTGGACTAGAAAGAACAAGCTGCTCATTTTGTCCCTGTTGCAGAAGTGGCTGTTTCATTTCACAGTGCCTCTGCTGGGCTTCAGAGCTCTTGGGTGAAGTACAGAAATATCTCTGGCTGGGAAAAAAAAGAAATGAATGAAAAGTGTGTTCCCATCACCTAAGGATGCTGACTGCTCTGTTAACTGGCCTGTGTGGGATACTCCAGAGTTTGCACACTGTCTTGAGAGGGGCTTCTTTTGTGGGTCTGTAGTGCAGCTCTCACACATCCCCTGGGCCCCTCAAGTGTCCCTGGCAGAGTTGTTCAGCAGCAGGCACCTATGCTGTCAGACAGATCTGGAGAAGCAGTTTGGGGCCAGCTGTTTAGGTAGGAGGGCAATATGGCAGAAGCCATCCAGTTCACAGCCTCTGTCCTGCCTGTCAACAGCTGCTGTGGGATCACCGGCAGCTTTGTTTGTAAAACTCTTTTACAGCACATGGGGCAGAGAAAAACTCCTTGTTTATAGGCTGGCATAAGGGAAGAAAATAAAATGGGTTTTTTTGTAATTTTTTTTTGTAATGGGAGGGGTGGCTGATGATGGAAAACAGGTTGTTGTTTTTATTGCTACTGGCTAACTTGCAATTAGCTGGGTTGAGACGAGAAGATGGAAGGTCTGCACGAGAGAAGAACAAGTTAGCTGAGAATCTCAGCTCTAAGCCAGGCAGCTCCAGTGGTGTTTTGCTGAGGCAATTGTGAAAGACAGTCTGAAATTTAGAGCCACACAAGTCTGGTGTCTTATCTGTCTTCATTTTATTGTTTGGTATTTTAAAGATATTTGCCTGTTGCTCTTGGTTTCTGAAGGTACATTAACAGGTAGCGGTTACAACTCAGTTACGGAAAAAACAGTATTTTCTCTGTCTTTTTTCATGTCTTCCCTTGCTCAGTTCTTCTCTCTTTCTTTCTGTCCATTTGCTAGTCCCTCTCTTCCTCTCAGCTTCAGGATTTTGTTTTGTCCTCCTCATGTTTCTGTTCTTGGGCTTTTCTAAGCTATTACTTGTCTTTCAGCCCATGTTGCTTGTCAGTCTCTGCTAACTTTCTTTTCCTCCTAGTCCAAACCACCATTCAAGAGTGATTTCTGTCTCAGTTGTTTTTCTTATCACTCTGATTTTTTGCTGCACTTAGAGACTACATTTTAAAGGATGAAAATAGAACAGGACTTTCTGAAGGTAAAACCTGGAATCTAGGGGTCTGTTGCTTTTCAGTGACTTTGATATTACCTCAACTATCCTTGATTTGTACAATATCATAGTAGTATGTTCAACCATTTCTATAATCTCTAGCTAAGGTCCATGTTCATTTTGCTTAACAAGACTATATAGAGAGTTTCACACAGTTCTACGTAACAGATGCTTGGGAAACACTGTGAAATTTCAGTATTTGTTTGGGTGTTTCCTGTGATCTGAGGACATGTGAGGCTTGATCTCTGCCTGGCAGTGAGGCCTGTGAGCGGGGTGTTTCAGTGGTGGGGGGCAGAAAAGGCACAGACTTCTGTACTGAAGTGAACTTGTACTCAATAAGCAAACACAGGTGACTAATGCTGACTTTAAAAGCAAGTTTGAATGTGTTGGATTTCAGAAAATCCATGCAAAATCGTGGTGTCTAAGTTACGTCTCAACAGCTTGTAATTTTCATCTAATATTATTTCAGAAATAAATAAAAAAAACCCCAAGACAATATGTTATAAATATTTACTGGAGTACCTAATAATGATCCAGAAGCCTATTCTACTTGCTGTGCTTCCTTACTGTTGTTACTTTCACTGTTTTCCCTAAAACATTGCTTCAAAACTACCTGAAAAACAAGATTTTGTGTTCAATATTAGCTAGGTTCTTACATTTCAAATTTTGATACATTTTTATGTTTTATGTTTTTCTGACACAAATTGCTCTATGAATGAATTTGAAAGTAAGACACATAAATCCGTCATTTACTCTTTGTTTACTATACCTTAATGTATTAAAAAGTGTAAGATAACATACAAAATAATAACATGAGCAAGCCACAGCACTGGTGAGAAGATTCAGAAATCAGAAGTGAGCTAAGTTCTTCTTTGGGTGAAGATCAGAAAACGAGCCTGGTTTCAGAGAGCCCATGGGTTTGCCCAAATGCCCATCTCTCAGGAAAGACCAGACCCAGGATCCTACGCTAAATGTCTGAAGATGCCTTGTGTCTTTCAAAGGCCAGTGCTGTAGCCTAAGTGCATGAATGACACCAATTTAGTTTTCTTCTCTGCCACAGTCTTTCTATGTGGCAGTTGATTCAGGGGTACTTCTCTGACCAGAAGCATTTGTTTCTTTCTGTTCCCCCCGCCCCCCCCTTTTCTCCACCCAGGTGACTGACTGCTGGAGCCATCCTCAGCCCAACATCCATTTCCATGGCCTGCTGCTCTGAGGTGGGCTGAGCCCACACGGCGTGGCGGAGGAAAACTTTAAACAGTGTTGAAGGGACAGAGTGATATTAAGTCATGACTTATTGTGGTGTTTTGTCTCCTTTCACTTGTGCAGGTCCCAGACTCAGAAAGGACCACGTACTCCAGGTTTAAGAGTTCCATTAAGAGGAAGCTGGCGGCCAGGGCTCCGGTAGCGAGCAGCCCTATTGTCACAAGATGGCAGCAGCTGCACGCAAGAGGCGGCGCGGAAGAGCCACACAGGGCCTGCTGTGTGACCGCTCTTTGTGCCTCCGGGGGGCCGCAGCTCATCAGCACACCTGGCAATGCTCCAGGTCAGACAAGGTGCAAAGGCACATTTTTGTATAGAGGATGGCCTCATGGAGGGACTTCTGAAATAACCTGGTATGGGGAATTAGTGTAAGGTGTGGGCTGGTATTCCCCCGTGTCCCAGTTGTCAGGGGCTCTGGATATGGCAGTGTGCTGCAGCAGCAGCCTGTGCAGACCTTCACAGGCAGAGCAAGCTCAGGGCCAGCATCCTCTCAGCAGGAGTACAGTGCTGCCATGAGAGGAAAGCTGGGCCCAAGGTTCCTGTTACCAGTGTGCAGACAGCCTAGGACAGCAGGTCATACAGACAGCTGACATCAAGGAGGGGTGAAAGGAAAGGGAGAAAAGAAAGTTTCATCCCCAGCCAAGCAATGCCTGTTGCAGACCAGTCTTTTTTATTCTATGATGGAGGCTGTATTGGACTGGGGATAAGTTGCACTGGGCTGTAACAATGCACAGGGTTTGTTGCTGCACCTTCATAGCTGGAATGGTTAACGATAACTGACAGGAGAGCAGGAGAATTCATACAGGCCTCTCCCCTTCCTTCTGCTTCTCCTTTGCCTTATACACAGCTGTGGTATAGTGTACGCTCACTGAAGGAGAAGCCTGCCTTGTGTTATTGTCTCTCCTCCAATGCGTAAGGCTTCAGGTATTGACAAAGGGACAGTGGCCAAGGGACGCTCACACTCAACTCACCTTAGGGAGAGACTTATCTGAGGGCCATTCAGAGCACAGATCAAACTTGCAGTACTCTGACTTGGTCTGGAGAAGAACTGACTCTAGGGGAGGCTGTTTCTCTCCGTCAACAGAGGGAGCTGAGGAAGGGTTAAATGAGCCTTTGAACTCACTGACTCCCACTTCCAGCAGTGCTAGGGGAAAGTGGGGAAGGGTTTACATGCTGCAGGTACAAGAAGAGCTTCCTGGAAGATCTAGGGAACTAAACAAGGCTCATTTCTTGATTAATAATTAAAATCTTTAGAGAGCAAATAAAAGATGCTGTTTAGTGTTCAGGATGTGTTCCTACAATGCTATGGCTGTTGGTCAGAAAGTGTAATTCTATCTTCTGCTAAGCAGAATAGCAGAGCTATTCAATAATACATGCCCAGCTCTAGGAAACTCAGGTTCTAAAACAAGGTGAAGTCTTCCCTGCTTCAGTTTCTAGAACAGAAAGTCCTGCATGCTGTCTCTACTAGCAGTGGTGAAAGCCTGTATGGTTCTGGGAAATCAGATATTGATCTCCTATGGGGTGGGATCCTGTGTAACCAGTCAACAAATCTAAGGCTAGATATGAGCTGCAGTAGTAAACAGGCACTCTTTTAATGGAAATGATCAATCTGACCTTTTTTAGATGTCTCTTTTAGGATAAGATGAATAGTGCTGTAGAAATGTCTCTTTCTCTTCACTGACAAAAGGAAAGCAGGGTGACTGGTTCAAATGTCGGTATTTGCATTGTCCCACTTAGTGTGTCAGATCTGCTTTTAGAGTATTGCTACTACGAAATCAGTGCTATTCTGAAAAGTACTTGACAAATATCCCTGTGAATGGTTTTTCAAGGTATTGTTTCCATTAAAATTGTTTTTCCAGTGACACCTCAGGTGCCTAAGAAACTCTCCATCACAAAAACTGTTGTGACTCTGCCTAGCAGACATGCTGCAGCAGGCTTGGAAGGGAGGAATAACAGGAGAGCTGAAATGGGAAACAAACAGGTGAGTAATGCAACATTCAAATGCACAAGTAGGGTATTTGCTTTCCTGATGTGTTTTTTTTACCTTATCTTTGGCCTAGAATCTGTTATGCAGATACTACCTTACTGACATGGAGAACAGTAACAAGAGGAGGTCCATTTAGGAAATGTCTGCTAGAGAAATGTCAGGAGCAATTGCTTCGTCATTTATTTGATTCAGCTTCTCTCCCCTTCCTCCAGGCTGTCGTCCTGCAAACTAAAATCGAAACCAAGCTAATGAAGCCCTCAAGATACGTTTGTTACCTCTGAGGGAAAACATATATTGTAAAAAAAAAAAAAAATGTATGAAAAGCATGAATGACTCAGTTTTCCACTTGCTTTAATAAACACTGTGTGAAGAAGATAATTTCTTCAGTTGTGCAGGATGTAGCTGTTCATTTTGCCACACAGACGGAACGAGGTGCTATGAAAAATTTGCCAAAAAGTAGCTTTCTGAGAATAAAATTTTTGTCATGACAATAGAAGGTCAGATTCTTGGCCAAGGATGAAAGAACACATGGAGTCTGCCTAACATGTGAAACAAAGACTTCAGATCACTTCCCATTTAGATGTTGTTTTCTACTGCTGTACACTTTATCCCTTCATTTTTCCTAGTGGACACTGATACACCATTTTTTTTTTCTTTTTAGGTATTATGCATTGCTTTTTAGTCATCTTAAATAAACCTATGCTCCACCCACCCACCTGTTTCTGTTCACTAACTTCTTGAAAATTGACTTCTCATGTGAAGCATGGTGATACTTGTCTATATTAGTAAAAGTTATTACTGTAACATTACACTCAAAAACACCTCTCTGTTTTAGTGCTATCTAATTGTAACTGTTCATATATTAAGTTGTAAACTTTTAGGCAGTGACCACGCTTTTTCTTGTGCTCTCCTTTCCTTGATTGCACCAGTTGCAAGGTCAGTACTGAAGATGCTGATAGCTGTTTTGACGTGATGACTTTTTTGACCATAACTGTTGAGTAAGGATGCTTGAGAGATGCATACTCAATGTCCTTGCTTATAGCGGTTAATAATCCTTAATTATTACTAAGTTTCTGTGAGGGTATCAAGCTCAACTTCTAAGAAAAGGAGGTAGTGTCAGGACAGGTGGGCTAACAGGCTTGTTGATTGATATGTTGTAATAATTGTACTCTTGAAGGTCATTGGATGTTGCAAAAAGACTGTGCTTTTACATCATTCTGGGAAACCTGGTCCTCGGGTCAATCACTTTGCTTTCTAAATAAGCAAAATAGTCTGGAAAGTCCTTTCAACAACAGTCCTTTCTTCCTTCCTGCCCCTTTCCATGGTCTGACTGGAAAGTCTGTGAGTTTTAGGATTGTTAAAATACACAGCTCAATGGGTTTAGTAATCTTAGTTGAATCTACCCCACAGAGAAAATTAATAAAACTTTTTTGTGAGATGATAAGAACTTTCTATGAATTAAAGTATGTAAAACATTCTTCCTTCCTTAAAATGTAACATCTTTTAAAAGATGACTACATGTCATTGTCTTCACTCTTAGTCATAGAGTGGTTTGGGTTGGAAGGGACCTTTAAAGGTCATCTAGTCCACCCCCTCTGCAATGAGCAGGGATATCTTCAACTAGATCAGGTTGCTCAGAGCCCCGTCTTTCCAGGGATGGGGCATCTACCACCTCTCTGGGCAATCTGTTCCAGTGTTTCACCACCCTCAGTGTAAAAAATCTACCCTATTTTAGTTTAAAACCATTACCCCTTGTCCTATCTCTACAGGCCCTATTAAAAGTATGTCCCCATCTTTCTTATAAGCCCCCTTTAAGTATTGAAAGGCTGCAGTAAGGTCTCCCTGGAGCCTTCTTTTCTCCAGGCTGAACAACCCCAGCTGTCAGCCTTTCTTCATAGGAGAGGTGTTCCAT